AAGGCTGAGGCAGAAGGATAGCCAGAGCCCAGCAGGTTTGGGCTGTGGTGGCCGGGAGCATGCCACTGCACTCCAGTATGTGCAACAGAGTGAGACTCCAACTCAAAAAAAAAAATACCCATATGCATCAAAAGAAGAATACCCATATGCAGACAGAAAAACTAAAAAATACCAAACACACACACACACACACACACACACACACACACACACGTACTAAAACAAAGATAGAGAAAAAAGCTCCCTCTGTGGCCACTTTTCGAACTTCAGGTTCTTTTCCCAAGCCCCGCCGCTTCTGGCTGTGATAGGGAGCAGGCGCTGGTCTCCAACCCCTCCCCTCTGCCCTTGGCCCAGGCCAATCAGGAGACTCGTGGCCCCTTGGACTGCTGAGGAAGGAGGGTGTCTCGGATTCCGACTCACAATGCTGCTGCTGCTGCCGCTACTGCTGCCGCTGCTGCTGTCACCGCTGCTGCTGTTGCTGCTGCCACTGCTGCTGCCACCCTCACTACCAAGGCCCCCATTCAGATCCGATGTGTCTGTGCCTGGTCCAGTGAGCTGGTGGGCCGTTCAGCACTCCATGTACGCTCTGGAGGTCTCCTCTCTGGATCTGCAGTGGCCGATCCCAGGGAGATGCTGCAATGGCTTCTGGGTCCCAGGCTGAAGGTTGAACAGAGCCAAGAGGGGCAATGCAAGTCTCTGCCCCTCTGGGACAGAGAAAATGGTGGCATCAGTGTCTCCTCACTAGCGGTGGGGCTGAGCTCCAGATTTCCTCTTGGTAACCTCTCCACGGTTCCCTCTGCCAGTGCCCGGCCCACGGCCGCAGGTGGTGGCATGGGTCAGGTGCCAGGTGCTGAGAGCAGTTGGCCTCTACTGCTTCCTCATAGGAGACCCCCAAGAATGACTGACAATCCTGCACACCAGGGCTCCAATCTCAGGGCTCCAACCTCAGGGTCTCCTCTCAGAAGGACTTTCACTCACCCAGCAGCACTCATCCACTCAGGCAGACTGTCTTTACGAACACTCGGGCTTGCAGAGACTTTCCACTCCCACCGGTTGCATCGCCATCTTTCCTCCTCCAGCAATGCAATTTTTAAAATGTCTATATGAAACTGAAAATAGCAAGTTTATGCATTTTATAATAAAAAATTTATTGAATATTATTGCTATAAAGGAAGTTGTCAAATATTAGTGTCTTCTAGATAATTTAGGAGAGATTTGATCATGGCAATGGAATTTGATCTTGCCCTAGAAAGTTACTATAATTCAGTTCAATAGAAAAAATGATTAGACAATCTATGCCAATGCAATAGCATAAGCAAAATTATGAAGCAGAAGTGAATCTACACCGTCAAGGGACATAAGCTGGAGCTGAGGAGGCAATTCAATTCCAGTTATACGAATTCAGAAATGCAGTGGTAGAAATGGTAGAACCAGAGTAAGATGTTGAGAGCCTGTTGTTATTTCTGTAGAAGTGGAAGAGTCTTGGTGCCAAGCAACTAAATCTATAATTTAGTTACCCAAGAGACAAAAGGAGGAGGGCTTACATTTCCCTTGTTCTGTGTGGTCTCAACTACAAATCTGTGTTCATTGATAAAAGGTGATCCACGTCATCTAGATAGAAAGGGCCATGGAAACTACTGTTTGTTTTGCTGGTAATTTATTCATCAAGTTTGGCTCTATACATAAGTTGGTATCCAGAGTAGTCAGTTGGATCATGTGAAGTTTCCTAAATTTTGTTTTGTTTTTCTTTTTAAAGGTCTGAATAACTTAGTATAGGTGGAGGTTAGGGTGACCAACCATTCCAGTTTGGCTGGAAAGTTCTGGGATGTAGGACTTTCCATTTTAAAATCAGGAGAGTCCTGGGAAATTGGGATAGATTGGTTATTTTAATTGCCAGTAAGGAAAGGGTAAAATAGGAGAAGATGAAGATAGAGTTGAAAGTGGAGAAAAGTGATAGAACCTCCTCAAATCGGTGGGGTATGTAATCTGGAACAGAAGGTAATGGGCTAATGCCTGAATCTGGGGAAGGGTCACACTTCCACTGAGACTGGGACAGGGATTGAGGTAGAGAAGAGGTAGGCATGGGTGGATTTGGACAAGTTTGTAATGGTGAAAAGTCTTGGTAAATTGTCAGGATATAAAATTTTTTATCACAAAGAATTATGACTATGTGTCAATAAGCTGAATGACATTTAAGATTAATTAAAGTGGTTAAAAAAACTTTGAAAACTCTCCTGGTTTTCAGATGGGTTGTTTATATACTTGCTACTATTAGTTCTGATGAGGGTAGAATTTTTGGTAGCGAATAATTTTATCAGTCAGATGCCAAATCCTTTGAAGTTTGTCCAAGAATGATAGAGGTAGTTGATGACAAATGCAAAAAATAAATAAATAAATAACAAAACAGCATAGTCAGAAGTTCCAGACGAATGCTTTGGTATTGACCTTGTGGGCTGCAGAGAAGAGGAACTTGGACTCTGAACTATATGGTACATGTGGCTTCTGCGGATGGAGTTTCTTCAGAGTGAGCCTTAGGGCCAGCAGTAAATTCTGTTAAAGCTTAGGTTTAACAAGTTAAGCAGATGTAGGGAGCTTTCTGTGAAGAGATCGAGGATGGATTTGGCTGTGTGTGTGTGTGTATGTTTTCCTTTGTAGGGAGAGATGATAGAGGAGAACTTAAATCAGGGTAAAGAAAACATTTATTAGAAATGGACTCAAAGTCCAGGAGATGATTGGTGTTGGGTTTTGCATCTTTCTATCTTTCTTTTTATATCTTCTATGCAAGGTTTCTTGGATTAGCTTGATTTTGATGCTCTTCCTTTTTTTTCTTATAAGAAACTGTACTTACCTTCATCAATATGTTTATCCCAGTCAGGGGTGGAATCAAATTTCGGAGGCTGTTGCATCTGCAAGATAAGGGCTCACTTTAAGAAAAAGAAAACCGAATTTCACTGCCAAAAAGTATGGAAATGAACACTGATTTAGCACAAGAAAGAAGTCACAACAAATTATCAATTTTAAAAGACTAAAAACACCATAAACATAACAAAATTTAACACTCTCAGTATTTATATAATTAATTTCCTGATACACTTCTATAATGCCTTTTCTCTACAGTTTCTTAAATTGCTTTTTATTTAATTGTTTCCCTTAAGAGAATTACCTTGTTGAAATTTCTGTGGAAATAACTAAAAGGCATTTGCTTTTCTCTAGCATGTTTGATAAAAATTTGTTTTGTATTATTAATAGTTCAGAAAAGAAAGTCCAACTTTATAATTTGTTATTGGCAATGAGATAATTACATGTATTATTGTAAAATTTTCGAAAACTTTTAGAAGTTTTATATATAAGTTGTAATATTTCAAAGCATTTCAAATTTTTCTTGTATAGTGACTAATTTTTAACACCCTTAATTTGATGACATTGATAAAGTACATCACTGGGTCCTTTCCAGGGTTTTTATGGGGGTCTGAACAGTGAGGATCCCTGAAGTATAAACTGTATTAGCCTCAGATCAATCTGGTTTTGTTTATATTATATTACATAATTGTCTATTTACTTGCCTGTAAACAGACTCAGTGCTTCTTAGCCTCATTTCTGTCAGTAATTTAACACTACAATAAAATACATGGACAGTCTCCTCAGCTAAAGAAAAAAAAAAAGGCCAAATATATGAAATATGGAATACAATGTTACATGCCCCAAAACCTTATTTTTGCTCCTACCAGAAGTTTTTTCACTAAATTGATAAGTCATCTAATGCTCTGTATTTTTATTTTCTCTCTCTAGTATCTTGCAAAATGTCCTGTACTTAGATACTCCAAACACACAAATACTTATTTAATGAATAAGGACAGAAATGGATGAGTGTTGCCAGTCAGACAGTATGCCAGTGCAGAAACTCCCCCACCTTCCAAAACTATTGGTGAGCATATTTGTGCAAACACTGGTATTCATCCCTGACAGTCCCAAAATACCAGGCACTCTGATGCCTTTGCCCTATAAGATAGGGTTCCTTTTCCCACGGTCTTGGGATTGCATAGAGTCTCATTTTCTCATCTGAAAACCTGTTCTTTTATCTTTGGGATTCTCCTGCCAGTTACTGGGAAGAGCCACATTGTTCTCCCACACCCTTAGTGAATGTTAGCTTTTCATATATGTTTTTCCTCTTGTAAAAATTATGATCAAGTATGAATACACTTTAAGTAGCATTTCTTTATAATCCAAGGCACTCCACCACCATTATTCCATTTTTCATGTACACAGAGCTGTACTAGGTATTACAGAGGATAATAGAATGAGTGAAAATCATAAACCCTGCAGCCAAGGATACTGCAATCTAATAGTGTTATGAGTAAGGGGGAATACAATGGGAAGACAGGAAATAACTTTGCAATAAAGAAAAACTAAAGTAAATCATAAGACTGATGCAAACTGACATAAGAATTGCTGTGATTGTTTTTGAAGTCTCCAGTTTTGACAGTCAAAGGGGACTCTATCAATAGTTACTGCAAGAACAACAAGTATAAACCAATATTGTCATGGGCAAACAGAGTGACAGAGTCACACCCTATTGTTGTCTCTTTACTTTTGCTTTAACTTTTTATTACCAACATTTTCATGCTGCCTATAAGGATTGAGATAATTATTAAGTAGAAGTCTTCCAAATTCAGCATTTATCAACACATGGCCAATATTTTCTTTTCCAAACCCTCATCACTTCCCACCCATTAATTAAAAAATCAAAGCATTTTCTTGATTCCTTGATCAATTTTTTTTCTCCTCCATTCCTTTGCTCTCCCAGTTTCCTTATCCAATCCCATCACCACATCCATCCTCCTTTTTATTTATGTTTTCAGCACTGCAGCTCTGATGTTCCACCTCTGCCAGGACACAGATCCACAAAGGTCAGCCCTACACCCTGAGCAGCTCAGAGGGAGGAGCCAAACCCACTGAGCCCTACACCCAGTCCTCTTCTGCTTTGCAGAATTGGCTCCATCATGGTGGCTTTGGAGGCTGGAGCATCCACGAGACTTAGTCTCCTGCTGCTCTGGCTTGGGGTGTCTCTGTCTGTTCCTGACCACTCTCGGGCCGGGCCCTCCCAGCATTTGACATCCCCAGAAGTGGTGATCCCCTTGAAGGTGACCAGCAGGGGCAGAAGTGCAAAAGCCCTAGGATGGTTCTCCTACAGCCTGCGGTTTTCAGGCCAGAAACACCTTGTCCACATGCGGGTCAAGAAGCTATTGATGTCCACACACCTCCCTGTGTTCACCTACACGGAGCAGGATGCCCTCCTCCAGGACCAGCCCTTCATCCCAGATGACTGCTACTATCATGGTTATGTGGAAGGGGTCCCTGATTCGCTGGTTGCCTTCAGTACCTGTTCTGGGGGCCTTCGAGGATTACTGCAGATCAATGACCTTGCATATGAAATTGAGCCAATTAGGGTTTCTACCACATTTGAACATCTGGTGTATAAGATAGACAGTAACAAGACACAATTCCTACCCAGGGGATGTGGCTTAACAGAGAAGGAAGTATTATACCAATACTTGGAATTTGAAAAAGCTGAGAACTCAGATGTGAAAAAAAATTCTGCTGGCAACTGGTGGACCCACACATGGTTTTTGGAACTGGCTGTGGTGGTAGACCATGATTTCTTCATTTACTCCCAAAGCAACTTATCAAAGGTGCAAGAGGATGTATTTCTTGTTGTCAACATAGTTGATTCCATGTATAAACAGCTGAGTACTTATATAATTTTGATTGTGATTGAAATTTGGAATCAAAGAAATGTTTTCCCAATGATGAGCATAGAACAGGTTCTGGAAGATTTCTCTCAATGGAAACAAATCAGACTTTCCCAACTACAGCACGATGCTGCACATATTTTCATTAAAAATTCCCTTATAAGCATACTTGGTCTAGCCTATGTTGCAGGAATATGTCATCCTCCTATTGATTGTGGAGTTGACAATTTCCAAGGAGACATCTGGTCTCTTTTTGCCAACACTGTGGCTCATGAGTTGGGTCATACTTTGGGTATGCAGCATGATGAGAAATTCTGCTTTTGTGGGGAGACAGGTTGCATCATGGATGCTTTCAGAGTGCCTGCAGATAAATTCACCAATTGCAGTTATGCTGATTTCATGAAGACCACTTTAAACCAGGGATCATGTCTGCACAATCCTCCAAGATTAGAGAAAGTCTTCATGCTGAAGCGTTGTGGGAATGGTGTGGTGGAAGGAGAAGAAGACTGTGACTGTGGGTCCGTACAGGAGTGTGAACAAGATCCCTGTTGCCAGTTGAACTGCACTCTGACACCTGGAGCTGCTTGTGCTTTTGGGCTTTGTTGCAAAGACTGCAAGTTCCTGCCATCAGGGGAACTCTGTAGACAGCAGGTCAATGAATGTGACCTTCCAGAGTGGTGTGATGGGACCTCCCATCAGTGTCCAGAAGATAGATATGTGCAGGACGGAATCCCCTGCAGTGACAATGCCTACTGCTATCAAAAGAGATGTAATAACCATGACCAACAGTGCCAGGAGATTTTTGGTAAAGGTGCAAAGAGTGCATCTCAGAACTGCTATATAGAAGTCAACTCACAGGGAAACCGTTTTGGCCACTGTGGTTCAAATGGCGCAATATACCTTAAATGTAACACCTCTGACATTTTTTGTGGGAGAGTGCAGTGTGAGAATGTGGGAGACATTCCTCCTCTCCAAGATCATGCTGCTTTGCAGCACACTGACATCAATGGTGTCACCTGCTGGAGTTTTGACTACCATGCAAGGATGGACATCCCTGATGCTGGTGAGGTGAAAGATGGTACTGTGTGTGGTCCAGGAAGGATCTGCATCCACAAGAAGTGTGTCGGTCTGTCTGTCCTGTCACACGTCTGCCTTCCCGAAACCTGCAATATGAAGGGAGTCTGCAACAACAAACATCACTGCCACTGCGGCTACGGATGGTCCCCACCCTACTGCCTGCACAGGGGCTTTGGAGGCAGTGTTGATAGTGGCCCAGCATCTACAAAAAGAAGCATTTCCTTGCCACTAATTATTATGCTTTCTTTGTCTGTTTTGATTTTTCTGTTTACTGTTAGGCTTTTTAGGTATTGTCGACAATATTCTGGTCCATAGGAGACTCAAGCTCACTCATCGGGTTAAGAAAATGTTTCTAATTTAATATCCCATGCTTTATTAAGTTTCAGTCTCTTGGCAGCAGAAATGTTAGTACATGCCTGAAACTGAGCACATTTATGACTGTGATTTTCTCTTCCATCAGTATCAGAAACATTGGCATGAAATACAGGTAAATTCCTAACATGTTCCTACCTACTCTTCATTGTTTTAAGCAACAAATAAAGCACTCCTCCCCCACCCCGCACCGCCCTCTTTAGTCCTTTTTGTGTTTCTTATGCATGGGAAAGACAGGATGCAGACATCAGAGTGTCCAGGGTTGAATTTACCTCTCTACTGCCGTTTACTGATTTGGGAAAATTACTTAAATTTTCTGACATTCTGCTTCAAAATCTGAAAAGGGGGATGATAATAATATCTGTCCCACTCAACTCCTTGGGTTTATTTGGTAACCAAAACAGAGAAAGAAGTGAATTTTTGTTAAGTATAAACAAATTGTTGTTTGTTTAATAAAAACTCCTGACCATGTTCCCTGGGTGCCACCTAGCCAAGCTTGTCTATTGTGACTTTGTCTTAACCTGGCAGTTTGTGTATCCTTTCAGAGTACTTGCTTTGAATACCAAAATATAAACTCCATGAGGGCAGGGTCGTCTTTATCTGTTTTTCTCCTCAGTGTTGTATCCCCAGTTCCTGGAACAATACCTCATACACGATAAATATTTGAATGAAGTGTTGTTTAAAATGCAGCTGTTTATACCTAGTGCACTTTGTTGGTCTTTTTGTCCTTGACTTGTCTTCTCATCAGTCTTTTCTCAATGTTTTTGGAAAGCTTGTCTCTTGAAAACACATATTTCATCGGTTACTTTTTATAATGTTCAGTTAACTTCTGAATGGCGCTCTGTAAATTGAGTCCAGTGATCTTTTGGATATAGTTTTCCAGTATGTGTTGCCAACTTTGCATCCTGTAGCTAATTTTTGTTTTGAATATGTTTGGCTGTGTCATTCTCTGCACATTTGTACAAGTTATTTACATTCTCAAATTGCTGTTTACCATCTTTCCCCACTCCCTTGCCCTAGAAGACTTCTACTTTTCTTGCAGAAGTCAGGTGTGCCCTGTCACTTTGTGGCCACCCGTTTATGGTTTGATGCACTCTAAGAATAGAGAGGGAGGCAGCTTAACAACGTACAAGCCAGGTACAAACAGAGGAGAAGGACATCTATTCGAGCCATAGAAACAGGGAAGAGTGAACCAAGAATGCAATCTGATTAAGTACGGCAAGATTCACATGTTGTAAATGCATATGTCTATATGGGGGCAAAAGATAGCTGCTCCGAATTATTGATTCTTTTTTGAAATTATTCATTGTAAAAAATATTTGATGTTGATAATAGTGAAGTTTATTGACCTAATATCCTTTTATATTTGACGAGTTTTGTATTTCTGCTTGAGACTACTTTGAAATAATCTGTTGTTTTTTGTCTTTTCTGGGATCATGTTGGCTTCAGCTTTTAAGCTTAAATCTGGAATTTATTTTGATATAAGGAATGAGATATGAATCCAATTATATGCTTTTCCAAATGGGTAGCCAGTTGTCCCGATACACTTTATTGAATAAATCCCTTTCACTGCTTTACTGGTAAATTGAGGTTCTATGTTGTATTTTAAAGTTAATTTGTTAAAGTCACATTATTTTACTTGTAAGTTTTTATAGGAATCGGCACATTTTGCAATATTCTGATTTTAGGAAAAGCTGTATAGTTAACTGATATCGATTAAGTAGGGTTAGATCAATCTATTATATCAAAACAGGTGAGCAGAATTAACTTTTTTATGACAAGTGTAGAGTCTTACCTCCTGTTCTGATTTGGGTTTCTTGAAAAGGATGTAAGTGGAGTTAGTTTATTTGGAAAGCACAAACAAGGATAGATTGAAGGGCAAGTGAATCTAACCTTTGTGGGGCACTAGGTAATCTCTGTAGACTCTGAGAAGTAATGGGAAGCACACTTTGGATTATTTATTATTCCATGGCTCAGGAGAAAGCTGCCAGGAAGAAAATACCTGAGACACAAGCACTTGTAGTAGGAAACTATCAGAACACAAAAATTGTCTACTGTGGCTGCAAGTGAACACAGGCGGGACAAGGGTTGTAGAGTAGGCCATTAGCATTACTGCACCCAAGTTCCCTATGAAATTCAGATGCTTTATTTGGGAAATGAAATCCTAGGGAAATTAGAGTAAAAGTATTTGAAACTGGAAAGTATTGTGCAGCAGCTGCCAGTGGTGCCCACCTATATCTTCTTAGGCTGAACCTTGAGGTTGTCTGTAGTACTAGTGACAAGTTCTTGTGTATGCACTGTTCAGAATGTGCGTGGGCCATTCATGGAGCAAGCTGGAAGCAAGAGTGAGTCAATACACCTGAAAGCAACTCTCCAACAATGACTGGTGTTGTATGAATGAACATCACAGCTTCTCTAATCCTCATGGGACAACTCTGAGGTGTTTGACACTGTCTCTCAGAGAATCCTCAGTAGAATTTTGTCCTAGTTGTTCACATGGTCACCCAACTCATTCACTAATACATGCTTGAGTGACTTTTATCCCTTTTTGACTTGTTTCCTACTCCTTCACCATACATTCAAATTTTGGGATTACATCGCAAATAAACTACTCACACTAAAATCCCTGTCTCAGTCTGTTTCTGACTTTTGGTACTAAAAGTATTCCTTAAAAGGCAGACCCACAGGGAGAAAGACTCTAGAATCAGTTGCTTGTCAGATAGCAACTAGGACTCATAGTTGGAGCAAGTAAATTTGTGACCGCCCATGTGCATTATGAACCAAGACTAATTTGTAGTATATTAGGATAGGGTGCAGATGGAAGTGGCGCCCTGGCATATGTAATAACTTTAGTACTTGAACTGGAGCTATGAGGATTATGAAATTAGTTAACTGGTGGAGAAGCTATGAAAAAAGAGGGATGGCTTTAGGTCAAATAACTGTCAACTTGGGGCATAGTGTGAAAGTCATAAGGCCTCTATGACAATGATTAAAGAGAAACTCATCCTACAATCAGAGGGAAGACTGCTAAAACTATACTCAAGATTTGTCACAAATGTGAAGCATTATAAAGATTATTACATTTATATCTCTGGTATGTTTCTAATGTGAAAATCAGGGTCTGTGTTTGGTAAGAAATGTTACGCTCAGACTTTGGGTGGGGACATTTGAATAGAAGCATTTGAAAACTTGAATCCTGAGATTCTCATGAATGCTCTAGACCAGCAAAATTCATTCCCTATCCCTTGCTGGCAGAGATAATGCTTTGCCAAAGGTTATTCTTATCCTCTTGAAGGTGTGTTCTTACCTCTCTCATTGCATCTAGACCAATGACTAGTGTCAATTCTCAGAATGGTCCAAGTGAGACTGTTCATTTTTAGTATGAGAGCAACTGGACCATCATTCAAAAGACCTTTGGGAGCTGGCATAAGCAAAGACAACATACATAGAATTGGATCCTGAGGGTACTAGATCTGGAGAAATAGAATATAAGTTTATATGGGGAAAGCATTTTAATACGAGGGTACTCAGGATTTACCATTTTTACAAAGATATCCAGAGCTTATCGTAATGTGTTGCTGGAATTATGGCATCTTTGAGGCTTGGAAATGTTAATGGACTACAATAATTGCAATGGAAATGCTAGAACTACTTTGGAAGCAAAATGATGGGGATCAGAGTATTTAGGGAGAAAGGCATTTTAGAAAAGACTGGGGAGGCCGCCTCTGACTATTTCCCTGGAGGTCCTAGAGAACACTGTCCTAGGTAGTTAAGAAAGGTACTAGTAAGAGAGGCACAGGCATCATTGGGAACCTTAATGGTGGCTTCTTTGTGGGTCAGAGCTTATGGCAGGACATGGTGCTATAGAACTGGATTTCCTAGTATAAGAGAAGGTGATGAGATTCCAGAGTAGTAGAAAAAAAGGTGGTATTCCTTAACTATCAGAAGCAAGGTGGGCATAATTACTATAGTGGGCAATAAGACTGGAAAGGCAAGCACTAGGCCTAACCAAACTGTCTTTGAGGCCATGTCCAATAGATTTTAGTGCTCCAAGGGATGAGATAGATGAGACTCATATAGCCAAAAAAGATTAAAAGCTGGTGATCAGTTCGCTGATGCCAAGTTCTGCAATGGACATCTCAAGTATATTTTCCAGATGATTCAGATCAATTACTGATCTATTGCCAATTGAAAGAAAGAACAGGTACCTTTAAGAAAGGACCCTGTAATGCCATAAAAAAATAATAAGGAAAATTCTTGTACCTTGTTTCCCAAAGGGGACCTTGCCCCCAAAGCAAGTTTTTCCCTAAATGAACATTGACAAGAGTAAATGTAGGTATGAAAAACCTACAGCTAATCACACTTAATGTTAAAAGACTGAACGAAAAATATGTGATTAGCAATAAGCCAAGGGCATCTGTTCTTATCACGCCTATTTATCATTATACTGGAGGTCTTATCCATGCAATAGGTCAAGACAAAGACACACAGAAAAAAATAAAACTTATTTTTATTGGTGAAATTATGATTATTTTGAATTTACAAAATAAATTATACTAAAAACAATATAGAACTAATATGTGAATTTAACAGTGTTACATGATACAAGATCAATATGGAAAATATATTTCTATGTAGAGTGACTATTTGGAGAATAATATTAAAATTAAAGTAGAATCAAGATTTAAAACACTGAGGAATACATTGGATAAAATATGTGCAAGCCCTATATAATTAAAATCACAAAACATTGCCAAGAGAAAATTTTAAAGGCCAAAATAAATTTTTTGTTGTTAACATGTCACTTCTTCTTAAACCACAATAAGATTCAATGCCACAATAAAAATTCCAGAAGACACTTAAATAGACAATGACAGACTGATTTTAAAATTTGTATGGGAATGATCTAGTTTAGTCAAAGCAATTTTGAAAGGTAGTCTACAATTACTCTTCAAATTTCCTCATGCCTC